AACCCTTCTCCCCGTCTCCCTTTTCGTTTGGGTCCACCCGCACAGTCACTGAGCACGAACTGTCACACCAAGCACAGCACAACATTTCATCAGACAGATGTAGTTAAATCAGATCAAATTAAACTAAATTTAAAAGAAAATTTAATTCCAAACAAAAATCTCACTGTATTCCAGTTTATTAAATTTTTGGAATACTTACTGCCATGCTTAATATTTCTTGTCATTTTGTTTACACAATTTGTAGACAATTCAAAATGTTAAGCTGACATAATTTTTATTTTAATTCAGACTTTTAGGTAAGCTCAACTATGTCATTTCTCTCAAGTCTAGTTGGCCCGACAAGATAAAATATTAAGTTACTTTCAGGCTGAAAGTATGTTTTGACTAAATGTTCAGTTTCAGCTGATATAATCAATAAATAAAGGCTTGGAAAAAAATTATTTAACCATTTGAGCCTATTTATCAAGGTACACCGATAGTAATTATAACACTATTCAAAAGTTTACACAAAAGTAAATAAATTAAAGGAATGGTCTCAGCTTCATACATATAAAGTGAGCAGGACCCAGACAAGCCAGAGATGCAAGTTGTGACAGGCCTTTCATTAAACTAGCACTCACATCTGAACTCCTCCCAGCGAGGATTTTCGAGGGATATGCAAGGAGGAGATGCAAGAATACATCTGTGTTTAGTCACTCTGTGCTCCTCTATAGGATTATTTTATTGTCACTTCTGCAGGTACCACGAGGAAGCACTAGTTTAGCACAATGAGCTGCCAGTCTAGTGTTCTTTTCTTCCAGCTGCAAGATTGTCTTTGTTCTACCTCCTGTCATCATTACTTTCAGGCCATTCCTGTTTCTACTTTGCATTCCCTATTATGACTTTGCTTGCTCCTGTGTTTTTACTTCTGCCTGACTCCTTTTTTAAAATTTGCCTGCCTGTTTTTTTTCATCAGCTTTCTTAAGTAGAGGCAAGTGTCCTGCATTTGCGTCCTATTTCTTGAACCATTCCAAGAAGTCTTTACTACGGAAACAAAAAGTGACACAGCACAGTACTATTCACCCAGTAACAGAATCAACAATGTAGCCATTCAGAGCCAGGTCCAGCGAGTATCAGAAGGAGAGCTGGAGAAGTGGCTTGTGTGTACAGTGAGGCCAAGGAACAGTACAAGCAGGAAATAAGTCACAAAGTTTTATTGAGTGCTGTCATTTGCATGTTTTTTGTCATGGACTCCAACAATTTATTTGTATAACAATAAGACACTACCTCTTAATAACAAAATATTTTTATTTAGCATATTTCCTTTCCCCCTCTTAGTAGGAGTGGAAAAAAAATGCCTGTGCCCCACACCTTTTGTTTTGCATATGGCACACCCTGAGGACCTCGTCTAGCTGGTCTGGAATGCAGTACTAGTTAGACTGGGAGGGAAGAAAACAGTGCATCAACCAAGACAAGGCTCATTTCACACACACTGTGTAGGCAGACAAACTATGTGACACGCTAGCCAAGTTGCACTGTTCAGTCCAAGCAAGAACCCCAGGTAAGAGCTGCCTTTGTATAATGGTAAGTGTATTTTAACTTTTCAACATCATCTATGATCAAGACCAAACATGTCTTTGAGCATAATTACCTTAGGAGCCTGCTCTCTTGGATGGGACTATGCTGTATGTCTCAGGTATATATGGTTTATGTTTTGCTTGTTTGTATAACTGCTAATGTAATTTTAATTAGCTGCAGCGCTACACATATTATATATAAGCCATAATCAGCAAAATTAAAACAAAAAAAGGTTTGAAATGTTGTACTTTACGTATAATGAATATAAACTATGTGAACCGTTTCATGATGTTCTAATTTTTTGAGATGCACTGGTATATGAAACCACAGCATGTCGGGGCAAAAACCCAACCGTGAAGTCTGTAGACCTCCTTGATAAAAATGTGTCAAGGCTGAGATTAAAAAAAAATAAAAAATTCTCGAGCTTTGAGATTTTCCAGGAGCACAGTTATACGTTTGAAAGAGTCTCAGTAGTGACAACAAATGTCATGTTACATAACTCATAAAACACAAATAAATGCATACAGATTTGTATCTGTAAATGTTGTGTTTATATGCCATCAGTGTACATCACCTTAGCATTTTTAAATGGAAATATATTTGTGAATATCCACCTATTTGTGTGCACTTGGTTTGATTCATCTTTGTTTATTTGCTGTGTAACAGAGTTCGCTATATATGCTTCCATTTCTACACTGTCTGGCTTCACAGATGGCACAGAAAAAAGCTGCTGGCGCCTCAAGAGCTGCCAGGCGAAGACGGTGGTGGAACCTGAGACAGAGATGGCGGATGCTGGGGGTGTTTGAAATCAACCCAGAGCATGAATTCTACCAGCTGACATCCATGATCAAAGAAGGCATGCATGCTTCCCTTCAGACCCCAGTGGAATTACCAGGCCAGGTGAAGACTCTGCTCATCTAAGGACATTGGTTGAATCATAAATGTAAAACACTGTATACATAATGTTACTCATAAACTCTTGCTGTTTTGTGCAGAATGCACTCACAACGGAACATTTTGAGGCAGAAGAAACTCAAGCCCATGAGGCAAGTTGCATTTCCGCCTAATTTTTTTTTCTGTTATTTTAATGCTTTTACTTGTTTCCAGACAAGAATTAGAAGGGCTGAGGTGAACCCCCTATTGTTTCAACTTTAAGGACAGTGGTCCAGGTTTGCACTAAAATGTAATGGGTTTTCATGTGTCCATGATCCACTTCCCCAAGTTTCATGAAATTTGGTCTGATAGTTTTAAGTAAGTGATAGACAAACACTGAAAACGTATTTCCACCTCACTCTACATGATGGTAGAATAAAATTGCCAGTTATCAAGTAGTTACCCAGTCAGACTTAGAATTGTTGTCCTAAGATTTTTTGTCAAGTAAATTAAAGGACAAAAAAAATAGCTTTTCATGTCTTCTTTTTAATCCTTGCCTTCCAGGGGTTTGTGATGCAAACATTTGCAGCACCAGTGTTTGCCAAACTAAGAGGTTCACTGAACCTCACAGAGGAGGAATACATGAAGTCCCTCTGCTCAGAGGGCTGTTATCTCCAGTTTGTCAGCAACTCCAAGAGCAAGGCAGATTTCTTTGTCACGTGAGTGTAAACCTCTATTACACACAGATGGACCTTCCCTTTTCTAATGCCTTACATCCAGTCCTAATTCATATTTCAAACTAAAGGAATTAAAGCTGCCAATACCTTAAAAGTCATCCCTCTGAAGGTCTAAAGTCCAAGCACAGTGTTTTTCATGTGCAAAGCAGCGTGTTTCACTGTGTGTAATCCTCTGCCGTAACATTCTTTCTCTTGCTCGTCTCCTTACTTACCTTTGTAACTGGCACAATTCATCCGTAAGCTTTCGGCCTTGTTTGCCCTCTGTAGCGGGGTAGAGACACTACTTGTCCTTTTGGACAACTTCTAGACGGCCTTTTTTGACAGGAATTTTGTTGATTGTAGTCCGCCGTTCTTGATTTAATGAATTCTGTATCTGTGTTTAAAGTTGTAGCTGTAGCAGTGAACAAAACTTGATGAATTGATCATCTGATGGTGTGCTCACTTTTAGTCTGCCTGATCGTGCTTAGGATAAAACTGATCCAGCTTCCTCATAGTGTTTTAGAGTGCAAAGCACTGCCCCATCAGAAACTTTCTGTCTAGCAGCGATTAGGCAATGAGAAATCCTAGCTTCAATCCCAGCTTTTGACACTTTAATGTAGTGCTGACGCCATGTTTCCCACTTTCACAGTGCTATTCACAAATCAATGTTTTGCACAGCCATATTTACAGCAGGTGAACAATGGCTGCTGTACATGTCTCTGTTCCTCAGTATGGAAAGAGTGTTTAGGCTTGGTTGGATGGATAGTTGACATAGCTTAGACCTGTTCCCAAAATATTCAATTTTTTGCTGTTAGATTATTTGTTCAACTAGCTAATCCCATTTGTTGTTGTTGTTGTTGTTGTTTTGTTGTTGTTGTTTTGGTTCAGATTTTGAAGTGTTTCTAAGGTTTTTCACAGAATAAAAATTTTGAATATGGAATACATGTGTCTGATAGAACCTTGGAGTTAAGATGCAATATTTAGCCATGTTAACTGCTACCAATGGAACTAGTATCCATGCCAAAAGTCAGAGCCACAGCTTTCTGACTTCCCCAACAAACACAAGAAGGTAACCATTGATTTTTGTTACCAGCAACCACATCATTTATAATACATACAATTCTTTAACCTTAACCATACAAAACTGTTCATGAATATACCAAAATCATGAATTTAAAACAAAAAATGAAAAAATGTTGGCACTAGATGTGAAAAAACACTTCCCTCAACATATTCAACAATTTCCCTGAGGTACCCTAGCAAAGGGATCAATAAAGTTATATCTAATCTAAGTTATATCTAATATTCTGGGCTTTTACTAAATCCATTGAAAGTTGCAGAGTTAAAATTCTTGTCTGTGACCATGTTGTTCTTGACTTGCAGGAATGACAAGAGGTTTTTCCTAAAGACCCAGAGCAGGCGCGAGGTCCGGTTTCTGCTGTCCAATCTGCAGGCATACATGGATCACTTGGAGAAATACCCTCATTCATTGTTAGTGAGGTTTCTAGGTAAGAGTAGCTTCTGTTAATGATGCACTATTTTGTCAGGGTAGGGTAGTCACCCCTATCTTTTAAGCACTAGAGGGCTTCAGGAATTGTGCTTGTCCAATCAAAATTGTTGCTTCTTTTGCCTTAACTCTGTGATACCCAAATTTTGTAAAAGTACATGTCAAATCCTGTAGCATATAGTACCTACATACTGTATATTTGTAGTATTGTCTAAAATTAATGCCAAGCTGAGACTTAAGTATTAAACATTTTACTAAAAGCAGGACAACTTAAGCCTTTTAATGGAAATAATACCCCACCTTGACTTACTGCAGTCATTTGGTGATCAATCAGAAATAGTAGTTTAACAGTTTTACTGTCATGGTTTGAGCAGTTAAACTAAAACAATAAGGACGGTTACTTCTGATGTCAGAAGACTTTATGACATGTATATTAAACAGATCAGAGTGCTGCTGAATCACACAGTAAATTAGAAATTATTTATCAAGTCATTTAGTATCTAAAGTTTATAACAGAAGTGAGTACCTCCTTGTGTAATATTTCCTAAACGTCAGTCATTAAAAACTGTATTACCCCTCAGTAATTGTATTCTTGTGTGGCTCAGAGAAGGTTCGTCATGTTTGGCATGAACCTGGCCAGGACTACAGTCGTAAATGCATAGTCCTGACAGTGAAGCACAGAGGTAGGGGTGCCATCATATGGAGATGCATAAGTGCAAAATGTAATGAGTAGACGACATTTCTAGATGCACCATGAATGCCTGTGGATACACCAAATTACTGTCTGACAAGATGCCTCCCAGTCTGCAGATGTTTGGGAGAAGAGAAGAATACCCCAGGATGTTAACGATCCAGAGTAAACTTCCAAAGTCGTACAAGACTTCCTCAAGAAGAAATATATGAAAACCCAACTATGTCACCTGTCAGTATGTCACCTGACTTGAATCCCACGGAGCATCTTTGGGGTATTTTGAAGAGAAAGGCAACACAATGCCTCCAGCAAAGAGCAGATGAAAAAATTGCTTCTAAAGATGACCGGAACATCTCCTGAAGTTTGTGTAACACTGGTAACCTCAGAAATGAGAAGGTGTGAGTCGACAAATATTGAAAAAGTCTAAATCTCACTGAGGTCTCACTGACTTTTAATTTGGTACATCTAAACAATTAGTTTTTCATTTTACACAAAAGTAAACACCCTACTGTTCCACTTATTACTGATCAGTAGTGAGAGGTGATACACACAAACTTTTTGACCATTAGGAAATGTTGCACATTGATGTATTCACTTCTGTTATAAATTAATTATAAATTTACATGCATCAGGATCTGCCTGGATCAGCTAAGCAGGTAAAAGATTTATTTCTCACATTGTACATTCACTTAATCTGAGCAACACATTTAACTTTTGTACGAGTAGGAAAAACAGAAACAATCAGGTCAGTCGATTAGACAGTCTGCATGGCATGTTTTTAATCACATTTTATCCAGCAGACTTACCAATCATACTAATGAAATTTGGAATTGTAAGGTTGGATTATCACCCACTCTGCATTTCTTCATAGTCCTTTAATAGCGAAGTCTCGATGCTTTGCTAAGAGTGCACTAAACACAGCATCAGTATTCTGCCATAGTTAAATGTAACGTAACAAATAAAGCTGAGCTCAAACAGATGCAAAGTAAATGTGATTCAGATACAAAACTATGCTACACACAGCCTAAACTCAGCTTTTAACTGTCATTTTGTGTTATAGCTTTGAAACTGTACAAAGTACATTTAAAAAAAGGTGTAGACATTTTCTCAAATATTATGTACAAGGGGGCAAAACTGCATTTCATCAGATTTAACAACAGATCATCTGGCATGCAGCTACAGCATACCTGCAAACTATAAAGCCTGCTTTATAGTCAGATTTGCATTTGCTGCCCAACCAGTGAAGCATCTTATCAGGACACCATGTGTCACACATGATGTGTTTGTTGTGTTGCAACTTTTACGTCTTTAAAGCAAAAATATATCTAGATATTTATTGATTAAGGCCCAGAAAAAACCTAGCCCAAGACAAAAAATATATCACTTGTGCCCCTGAGCATGATAATAATGATAATCTTTTCACTTTGCAGGTATCCACAGGATCGTTATTCCGACTCAAATGAAGGTATTTTATCAACATAATATCCAGCAGGGCATTTCAATTTTCAATTCAATTCAGTTCAATTCAATTCAATTCAATTCAATTCAATTCAGATCAATTCAATTTTATTTGTATAGCGCATATTTACAACAACAAGTCATCTCATAGCGCTTCACAAAGGCAGAAACAGAAACACCCAACAATCCAAAACATCTGGATTCCCTATAAGCTTCAGCAGTCTGCAAGCAGTCC